ATCCCAGTCATCAGAGCTGGACTCGGGGACTTTGTCACTTACTACTGACTCTGACTACTACTACTAGATCTAGATCTAGTACTATCGCATAGTATAGTATAGTTAGTATAGTAGTAACAAGATCTTTCTAGACTCTCTAACTCTAAGCTAGTTAAAGTTACTCGTAGTTAGTAGCACTAGATCTAGACTCTAGTAGCCTTACTTGTTACTTAGATCTAAATCTTTCTTGTTACTCTTGACTTGGACTATGGTTGATGGAACTTTGGTCTACTTACTAGAATCTGGATTATTTTCTGTTTACATTCACTATTCAGGTGCAATGGATACATCTAGATTCTACCACCAACGAAGTAGAAAGTTCGCATATCCTTCTTTTCACTTTTATTGTTTTTGTATTTGATTTTAAAATTTTTAAATAAAAGAAAGACCACGGTTTTGTTTGATTGTTGTTGTGTTCTCGTTCTGTTCTGCAGCAGTTGGTTTTCGTTTCAAGCTTTCATCAAAACCAAAATGTATGGGATTTCTCGGTCAGCTTTAAAACCCCGTTTTCAATCATTCAAATTAATGCGCACAAGACTGCCTATTTTTAAGCTGCTACCATGTGATGAACTTAGGGATCTTTGTTTTGTGGACACATTTTAAACCATAACATTAAAACGTCACGAACTAAAAATACAACAAAGACACAGCTGTTTCCGCTCTTTAGAAGTTTTCAATTCGTCTTTTTAGTTTTACAAAATATGTCATTTTTGTAAAATTATGACGGCAAATTAAATAAAAGTATATTTATAACAGTAATTTTTAATTTTTTTGTTTGTTTTGGGCGTGTTTTCTCTGTTGGTCTGTACCTATGTATCTAGAGCTAGATCTATGTCTTGTAGGAAAATATTGTTTGTTTTTCTTTTCATTTTTCTTTTGGGATCAAAGCTAGCTAAGGCTAAATAAATAAGCAAGGGTTCATTATTGAAATATTTTTTAAAGAAAAATCTTCTGTTTGAGACTTAGTGTGAATAAAGAATATCGATCCATTGTTAAGATGAATTACTCGACTGATATTTTTATTGACACCATTTGACTAGATTCTAGCTCGTATCTTTTTTTTTTAGTTTGGTTTTGTATTCTCAAGATTTAAAGACTATTTGAGTATTATTTTTGCTGTTGTAAACTACAAAGATACTTTATAATTTATGTTTTGCAAACAATGTATGTAACAAAAAAAAATAAAAAAAATGGCCTAATAAAAATAATAATAAAATAAAATAATACAATGTTTAGCGGATATGTTGCATGGACTAGACAACATTTAAAGACTCTTTCAAGAACCTATTAAACTCTCTTACAGCATCATTTAACATCATTTTTTAGGCCCCGAGGATTTTTTTTTAGTAAGTCGTAATAAAAATCAGCTTTTGGGGTTGACAAGGTTAATCACACATAGACTCTAAATGTACTCCCAGTACATAACAGACCCAGTGGCGGAACTAGAAAAAAATGGCCCCCCCGCAAAAAATTTTTTTAGGCCCCTATATATATATATATATATATCTATATGTATATGTATATATATGTATATATATATATATATATATATATATATATATATATATATATATATATATATATATATATATATATATATATATATATATATATATATATATATATATATATATATATATATATATATATATCGGGTGCAGTGGCGTAGCGAGGTAAGGTGTCACCCGGTGCGGCACTTAATGGTGTCACCCCCCCCCCCCCAGAGCCATAGAGACCCTTCCCAGGGACAAACTTTCAAAATTTCGATTTGCACCCCCCCTTCTCGAGTTTTTCTCTATATATTTTGCTATTTTTTGCCTTGGTGTCACCCCCCTAAATGGTGTCACCCGGTGCGGTCCGCACCCCCCCCCCCCCGAAAGAAATTAAATTTATATAATTTATATAGAAAATATATACTTTTAACAGTGCCCGCCCCCCCCCCCCCCCCCCCTCCGAAGAAAAAAGTCTGGAAGAAACACTGCCAAAGACCCACCCATATTATAACCGAATATAACCCCTCCCCGTTACGGGCTAAACATGAAATTAAACATTAATACATTCAAAGGTGATATAGATCTTTTGGTTGTTTTTAGGCTTAAAAGCTAGATCATTGTATCCTAAATTTGATTAACTTTAATGTATTTAGTGTTAATAACTAATGTTCAATTAATACGTGTACTAATTATAAAACAATTAATAATATAAAGACGAGCCTTACCTTCCTTGTTGTGTGAATTAGACTCGTCAACAAAATACTTCATCAGGTAAATGAACAACTACTGACTAGTGTCTTTAACAAAATGTGCAGAAGTGGTCAGTTTACAGTTCAGTAGTTCATAGACGGTTCGTTAATCTATGCATTACATCTTATTGTAAGAGTAAGGGTGTGGTGAGGGGTAGAGGTGAGGGGTAGGGGTGAGACTCTCACCCCTCCCCCCTCACCCCCCTCTCACCGTGAGAGGGGGGTGAGGGGGGAGGGGTGAGAGTTGGGAAGGTTCAAGGGAAGGGGACTAGAAAGTGCCGATAAACATCTACATCAATAGTGCCGACTTTTTTCGGTCGTCTAGAAGACCAGAATAGTCGCCGCAACATTTCCCCAGCCCGATTTCAAAGCGTGCCGGCAAAAACTTCAGATGCTTCGCTAAAGGGAGATAACTTAAACTTTCACAAGTTTATTGATACAGTTGTTAAAGTAAAAATGAACGCAATTATAAATGTATGACATCGAAATAAATAATTATATTTTTTGTAGAGTCCAGGCCAGTAGTTTAAACACACAATCATTTATATATATATACATATATATATATATATATATATATATATATATATATATATATATATATATATATATATATTTAATAATGTAAACAATATAACAATCCTTTTTTGTTCTCCTAATCGACGCCACTAAAAGTAAAAAGGTAGGCTACGTCTTTGAAGTTGTCTATATGTCTGGCGGTCTCTCGAGCTATAGTCTGTGCATTTTTCTCAAAGACGTTTGCCGACTATCGTGTTTTTTTTTGTAACTGTAGAAGAAAGATAACTCAACCTCCACCTAATTTAAAAAAAAAAAAATCAATTTAAAAAAAAAAAATTTTTTTACATTTTTTTTAAAAATAATTTAGCCAGGATTTTTGGGCCCCCAATCGGTCTGCCCCCCCCCCCCCCGCATTGCGGTGTCTGGCGGCACTGTTGTTCCGCCCCTGCGTCTTTGAAGTTGTCTATATGTCTGGCGGTCTCTCGAGCTATATTCTGTACATTTTTTTCAAAGACATTTGCCGACTATCGTGTTTTTTTGTAACTGTAGAAGAAAGATAACTCGACCTCCACCTAATTTAAAAAAAAAAAAATTAATTTTTTTTTGTTTTAATTTTTGTTTACATTTTTTTTGTAAATAATTTAGCCAGGATTTTGGGCCCCCAATCGGTCTGCCCCCCCCCCCCCCCGCATTGTGGTGTCTGGCGGCACTGTAGTTCCGCCCCTGCGTCTTTGAAGTTGTCTATATGTCTGGCGGTCTCTCGAGCTATAGTCTGTACATTTTTTTCAAAGACGTTTGCCGACTATCGTGTTTTTTTGTAACTGTAGAAGAAAGATAACTCGACCTCCACCTAATTTTAAAAAAAAATTTAAATTTTTTTTTGTTTTAATTTTTGTTTACATTTTTTTTTAAATAATTTAGCCAGGATTTTGGGCCCCCAATCGGTCTGCCCACCCCCCCCCCCGCATTGTGGTGTCTGGCGGCACTGTAGTTCCGCCCCTGCGTCTTTGAAGTTGTCTATATGTCTGGCGGTCTCTCGAGCTATAGTCTGTACATTTTTTTCAAAGACGTTTGCCGACTATCGTGTTTTTTTGTAACTGTAGAAGAAAGATAACTCGACCTCCACCTATTTTTTTTTTTTTTTTTTTTTTTAATTTTTTATTTTAAATTTTTTTTTTTAAATAATTTAGCCGGGATTTTTGGGCCCCCATTCGGTCTGGGCCCCCCCGCATTGCGGGGTCTGGCGGCACTGTAGTTCCGCCCCTGAACAGACCTTTCCCTCATTTCAGTCGCTACACCAACCTAACCCAAAGCAGGGGATCAACTATATACAGCTTAGTTGTGCCTAATAATTATGGCATCAACATTAAATGACGTCACGCTTTTGACGATATTTAACCCCCCCCCCCCCCCCCCCAGCCCTCTCTCTTTTGTCATTTATCGTCACAAATGACGGCAAATGAGGTCACACCTTAACCTCACCCCCCCCCCCCCCCATAATACACACACACCTACAACACTATGAAAATCGTTTTTTTTTATTCCACCGTTTTCTTTTTGCAAATATTATTTTATTCGGTCAAAATAAGAACTTATTAATCAATTAATACTGCAAACAGACAATCTAAACAACGCGAAACTTAAATTCTGTTAGTAAAATTTTGTTTTTAATTGTATTTTTTTAAATGCAAAATGGGTCCGTACAATTTCTGAACTACCCCCGCCCCCCTTCTTAAAATTCGATTCCCCCCCCCCCCCCCTTTCGTATTTAGTGATTAGTGTGACATTGTTTATAGACAAACCCAGATCTATCCAATAAAGAGGCATCAAAAAGTTTAAAATTATGAATTTACTTCTTTAAAATGGAATTATTTCGCAAAAAAAAAATAAATAAATGCCGCACTACTTTAAGAGAAAATTAAAAACTCTTTGTGTTTATAATGGCCGAATAAAAATAGATTTTTCAATGGGGTAATTAAAAAATGAAAATAAAATAATCTTTAATACATATTTTTATTTTCACGAATTATTGGTTATTATTTAATTTTGAAGAATAATAACTTTTTCAGGCTTCATATTTCAAACTTGAGATGGTTTAATCATAATAAAATCTCGCATAGTTATTAACAAATCGTTAGTTACATAAATTTTGTGTTTCTTGTGATTTGAGAGGTTTCTTGAGAGTATCGTGTAACTAAAACAAACATGGCGACAGAAGTACAGAATTTGGATGAGAATGAAAAGAAAATTGTCAATGAATTCTGCCACCATCTTGAGAAATCCAAGCAATTGTTCAACGGTTTAAGGTACCGTTGCATGTCTTACAATATAATCAGAAAACAAAGCCAGCATCTTCGTGGTAATTTTATAAAATATAAATTTAAAAAAAAATAGTCTAGCCCAGTGCCAGTGCTGCTCACATCGGGCTTGGCAGTTGTCTGCGTGCAGACACCCGGTAAGCTCAGTGTGCACACTTCAAAGACTAAAATCATTTAATTAAATAGATTAATAATTAGCATCAAATAATAATGCATTATAAATGCACTGTTTAATTTATTGATTTTTCAAAATGTAGCATGTAGGCCAGTATCAATTTGGCATGAAATTTTAGTTTTTAGATCTTATCTAAAAAAGAGTGACAGAGTCAATGGACAAGAGCGAGTTGATGAGAATCCTTCCATCATGTTGTTGACATGGAATACAAATATGCTTTTTTAGATTTAGCAAACAAAGCGACCGTCAAAATGAAAACTTAAGCCTAAAATTAATTCAGAAATTTAAAATTTTTAGAATCAACGCTATGAAAGTTGCAAATCCAGAGAACTTGAAAATAATTTGTTGAGTTATTAAGGCTACATTTCTATTTATTTTCATTAAGGCTATGTTATAACTGGATGTTTCACTTTTGTAAGACAAATATTGATTGGCTGTACAGTAACTCTGTGGTCGATAACTATTACTATTTGTTTACAAAACTTTGCAAATAAAGTTTTTAAATAACAATGCAAATTTAAACTCCATGACCTAGTTTTCCATTTTTGTCCCTTACAATGTGTACAATAAAATTTATGGCAGCCTATCAAATAGCAGGATGCCATTGTTTATGTCGCCATTACATGTGAAAACCAAATTGTTTTTGCTTTTGTTTTTTTATTTAGTTACCGAAAATATTAAAAACATCAAATACATCCGATCTTTAGTAAAATCCGAAAAAAAACCAGGCAGATAGGATTTTATAACCATATTAATTGTAACTACGGTGTGCATGATTTTTAACTTAATTAATGGGCCTCTTGAATACCTTCTCGCTCGCGTCCATTCTCTTGGGAGAAGGAATACTTCCTGAGTAATATTGATAAATGTGTTAGATCTAGATCAAATATACCTATAATCATTCAAGTTATCCAGCAAATAATATCCATCTTATTTAACTAACTATTAAATGTACTAAATTAACTACAACACTGATTATGATGTTGTCTTGCTAAATTAGAAAGTTAATAATCACTAGATCATACTGTATAGGGGCCCTATTTATTGAAATCACATTTCTGAATAAATTTAAACCAAACTTTACGCTATAATGCATATTATTTCCATAATTTCCACTCATTCAATAATTAATGGCAAATCAAGTCATTAAGCTTATATATAAGATGTAGATAACTGGGAACTTAGATCATGAGCTAAGTATAGGAACAGATACATTGACTAAGAATCAGAATGCTGTTCAATGAACACCACAAGGCATGAGACAATTATGGAGGCCTAAATAAACGAGTAGAAAGCGTTTAAGGAGAGACGTCTAAAATTCCAATAAGCAGAGGTTATATAGTATTTTATCTAAAAATATGAAAGGTTAATGCGTTTAAATTAAGGGGATCAAGTTCTAAGAATTAGGGGCAGTAAGACATCACATCATAAAATATGGCATCTGAAAAACTTAATAATTTTATCTAGTCTGGATAATGTCAACAACTCTACTTTTCAAAGTTTCAAAAGCTGTTTAAACTTGGAATGTAATTTTAAAAATTAATACTTCTTCTTTTAACTGTAAACTTAGAACTAAAGTGGACCCTTTAACACCACAAACTATTAGTCTAAAATGGCTTCTAAAAATATAGAAGTATGTTTATATTTAAACAAAACCACTCCATGTTATCTGATTAAGAAAATGAGCAGTGGCAACTGTTGCTGTAAAAATGCTTTTTGTCTAATGTAAACTGAGCAAATGTTAGGCATATGTGAGTTATTAAACAACTGCTGGTAAAACATAAATTATTTGTAACTAAATTTGAGGTTGCTTCTTTCATAGGGACTTACCGCAATATGGACATAAGCAATGGCAGTCATACTTTGGTCGAACTTTTGACGTGTATACAAAGCTGTGGAAATTTCAGCAACAACACAGGTAACTTGCATATATTCTTGAGTGAAGCAAAATCCAGAAAGAAAAGCAGGCTAAAGTCAGAATTGTGAATGATAGTGTTTTTGTTAAAGACTTTTGAAGTTGTGATGAACTGGAAACAAAATCTCTATTCTCATATCTAACTCTAATCCTTTTTTTTTAAATTTTGTATACTTAGGGCAATTTTAGATTCAAAGTATGGCTTGAAAAGGTGGCAGATAGGGGAGATAGCGTCCAAAATTGGACAGCTGTATTATCATTATTAGTAAGTAGATGCATTTGTGTTGACATCTTTAATGATTCTTCTCTAATTAAGTAGTTCTCCCAAATATATTGCTAACGTAAATACTTCAATGGTTAACTATTAATTTTTTTTTAAACTCTTACATTTGAGTATATCTCATAAATCCAAAACTGTCTGTTTTCTTAAAATTGACTGTATACACAAAATTTTCTAAGAAATTGAATTAACGTATTAATGTATAAAGCTTGACATAAAAAAATTATTTACTAATATAACATCTTAACTAGTTAGATTTGGCTTACTTTGTATTTCTTCAATGTTTATTATGAGAGTTTGTAATGTCTTAATTGATAAAACTTGCTGAATGTTTATTCTCTTAAAGCCTCAGAACAAGCGAGACCAATTACTTGAATGAATCATTTTCTTTTTACTCTGCAATAAGAATGAGAGCATATTATTCTAAAGCAAGTAAAGAAGAAAGGTACATGATGGTTCAGTTTTAATTGATTGAGCAACACTATGTTACGTTTTAATAAATTTGTATACATTAGTAGATATACTAGAATGTGTTATATCATACATGATAAAACACTTTTTTTTAAAATTGTATAATTCTTGTTGTACTGCACCGTCTTTTTTCTTTTGCGCTAAATACACATGAGGCAGATGAAGTAGAGTTCATAATGTTTAAACACTCTTGGCATACAGGGGATAGTGTGGTCAACACAATGCCCGGCCACTTTTGTTTCCCTAACATTTGTCAGTTGCCCATCAGAGCGGGGTGGACATAAGGACGACCTATAGACTTGAGCTCAGGATCTGAACTCAAGTCTACATTTTGACAACACTGCACAATCTTTTTGTATTTAAAGGGAGTTTGATATATATATAAATAAATAAATATATATATATATATATATATATATATATATATAAGCAGTGAGATGTTAGCAGGTAGGAGAAAAATACCTGTCATTTAGCTTTCAGAATTTGTCAATTAGGCCTTCAAATTATTTATACTTAATTATTACCTTAATTCTTAAGAACAGAATAATTAAAAATTACTGAAAAAAAAATAATCATGAATATCTCCATCAGCCCAAGTTTTACAAGGTAATACTTATTTCACACTTACATACAGGCCTGACCTAATGGTGAAGAAGCTGAGATATTATGCCAGATTTATTGTCGTGTGTTTACTGCTCAAGAAAATGAAACTTGTCAGAGACTTGGTTAGAGTAAGTGGCCTTCTTTTTAATCTGCTTAATACAGATTTTTTAACAGGTGTAGTTTTTAAAAAACAAGTCCAGTAATGAAAAGAAATGTAAAGATCCTTATTTAAAAGAATTTATCTGTTTCTGTGACCTCAGCAAATAAAAACATGTTTGTTCAGCTGCATTCAGCCATCCTGATTCCAAGCTAATAATTTGTTCATTTGAATATGTGAACACTCTGTCCTGTCCTATGTCCCAAATTCCATTAGTGTCTCTTCAGATTGATATTAGGTCCCTTTATTATCAATTTATAGAGAAACATGTTGGAATTAGGGATTTATTCATCTGTTATATTTACTACTATTGTTTTTCTTAATTTCATTAAACCTTTTTTAAGCATGCAGAGTATCTGTAATACCTTTACATTTTTAAAATATTTATTGATTTATTTGATCAGGAACTGGCTAAGCAAATTGATGACTATACTGGAACGTATGAACCTGAGGATCACATGGAGTGGAACCTGGTCCTTGGAGAGATAAAAGCTTTCATTGAGGTTTGTTTTTATTGGTTGGTTTAGTGGGGGGCTCAGTGGCTTTTAAAAACAAAGAATTGTCTTGCTTGTATAAGTCTTCTTCACAAATGTTTTTTAACTATTTATTTTGCTTAAAAAAACTTTTTTACCTTGTGATCATCACTACTTTATTTTTATCTTTTATTGTAATTTAAATCACATTTTGGAAATGACTTCTCCTTTATTTATCGCTTACTAGATTATATATAGATTATATATAGAATTGTTAGGTTGTTTTTTTTTAAATACTTCAGAACAATTTTTAATTCTTCATTTTTTTTTCTCACACAAAAAATACTGTAGCTAAACTCTTAAGCATAAAATTTGTAAGCTAAATTATAATTATATATAAATATTTGTGTCGGGCTTTTTGATTTTACTCACACAAATCAATTTTGAATACTTATCCACTTTTAGGCGGACAGTATCATCAATGTGGTGGACGTAGATTCATCATCAATAGTGCTGTCCCATAGACTGACACCACTTAATACCCCACCCCTGGAGAAGGGAACACCTGTCTACCTGACTCTCCAGGAGGTGCTCATTGTTGGCAACTGTCATGAACAGGTATTCAAGCAGTTCCACACCTAATTCTTTAAGTTTGTGTCTTAAGGTGCTAGAATCATAATAGTACAAGGTTCTTAAGTACACCCAGCTTTAAATCATACCTGAAATTATAGAACAAAAATGTCGTCTAAAATAATGATGGCTGGGTGTAGATAGTGATGATCATACAATCCCTTTAAATGCCGAGTTAAAAAAAACTATTAATAGCTCTCCTGCATCTGGTCCATGGGCCATCACAGAACTTTACTATTTTTGTGTTTTACAATCTGTTGAGGGCCAGGTACACATATTGAAAGCTGCTTATACAAATAGTATATAGTAAATACAATACCCTACCTTTATGTTTTCTTATATGTGATGAAAAGTGACTCCATCGGCAAAATCTTTGCTAATAAATTACTAAAGTTAAAGCATAATGTAGACAGTTTTTAAAAAAAATTATCCTAGATATAGTTTGAACTAGCAGCTATTAAAAGTAAATTGTTTAAGCTGTAGTTATCTCCCTTATAGTTTAGTTTGTCTTGACATGTTAAGTCATTGATATCCATTGTGATTGTGTACATAACTTACAGGTAAAGTTTAGTGAACTGACCCTGGACATGTTCCGAATGCTGCAGACACTGGAGAGAGAGCCACAGGACGACTTGTCCAATCAGATATATGACAACTCCCCCGCTCCTGGTCGCACCCCTTTTGTAAGCAAAATTTTACAATTCATTTTATCATGTCTTTTAAAGGATTTGATATCAGGTGCTAAAAAATGTTTTATTTTCATGCAAATTTAGATAAATTTATATTGCTTCCCCACAATCAGATTGTTTTAACTCCCAGTTTTTAAAAATGTTCGCAAAACTTTAAAGTTTTGTTTTCCTTAACACTTTTATGTTAAGCACTTGATGGAATAGCATTATTGTGTAATAATTGTGTAAGAGTTATAGTCATGATACCTTGGTGTATTTTGAACAAATCTCACAAACCCCAAAAGAAATAATTTACATCAATTGGGGAAGCCAAATTTATTTATTTTTTACTACTTTACAAGCTTGATTAAGGCTAGTTGCGGTACTAAATTTAGGTGAATCGGGTGCCTGATGTAGAATTTCAGTTTTGACCTAATTATTAAAATACATTCATTTCTAAACATAAAAACATATTAGTTATTACTAGAAAATAGTGATTTGTATTTTGCATTTATTGGGTAGTTTTTTAAAAATTATTTTTTTTTACTTCTTTCACGTTTTTCTCAAAATTACAAATTTGACACTTCAAATTGCTACTCCTCAGTTAGTTCTACTTGTATCTTACTGAAACTTTACCTTATTATTCTACAGATACATACACATAACTTCTATGTTCAATTTCTATCAAAACTTGCTTTATTTTTATTTTAAAGCCAGAAATAAGCTACATTTGTGCACGTTTTAGCGTTTTTTATCAGTTTGATAGAATTTTTTTTAGAAAAAAATAGTTAGCTTGGCTTTACTTAAAATGTGAAACATAGAACTTAATAAGCTTAAATCGCCATATATAATGCATGCATTTTGGTGTGTTTAGCACTTGTGGTTATAGAGCCTTAGCATTTTGAAAATGATAAACAAAAATCCAATATGGCGGCCGTTACCATGGCAACCATATGATAAAATAGATTCTTATACCTTTTTTACTTTCTCGTATATACGAAGTATAGAGAAAGTCTTGTAATCGTGCAAAAAAAAAAAATCGAGATTTTTGCAAATCTCGACGTTTTACATCTCACTGATACGGAAAAACATAATTTTGCAATCTTGTCCGTATGTCTGTGTGTCCGTGTGTGTGTGTGTGTCCGTGTGTAAACACGATAACTTGACTACCGTTACAGCTAGGTTGATGAAATTTCATATACAAGTATTATATCAAAATCGTAGATCCGTATCAACTTTTGAGCGATTTCGGATAACCGGAAGTGGTACTTTTTCTACTTTGAATTTTTCAAAAGCCTATAACTTGAGTACTATTTCAGATAAATAAATGAAATTTCACATGTAAGTAAAAGATCTAATTCTCTACCTTCTGTTAAATTTTGAGTAATTTCCGTTGACCGGAAGTAGTAATTTACGCTACTTCCGATTTCTCAAAAAACTAATGTAAATTTATAAAGTACTAATACTATTGCGCACTATTATACACACCTTTATTAGGCGTTCGCTTGGTGCGCAATTGTTTTTTACTGAGATTCTATTCTATTTTTAAAAGTTTCAGTATTTAAAATGGATTAAAGATCATAACTATATCCCCAGTTACCATCCCCTGTTGTTTTATATAAGAATATTCGAGAAAGTTTAGGGGAGATCACTACCGGTTTATTTAAAATAACTTTCAGTATATATTATATGGGAAAAGTTTTAATGGATTAGCTTGAATAATAACGAAAAAGTGCATTTGGTGTAGCACCTAGCCTTAAAAGGTTTACATTTCTTTACATAATATAAAATGTATGTTATTTTTTGGGATTAGTAGGAACTAAAAATGCTTACCAATATCTTGTAATAAGGTTTATATTACACAAGTTACTCAAACATTTTCAAACTGAAAAGTTTTAATACAAGAAATGCTTTCAGGCCAACTTATTGATAGTAAAATTGTGGAAAAAAAACTCGCAGTGTAAAATTTTGAAAAAAAAAATCATGTTTATTTATGTCACTTAAGTACGATGGGGTAAAGATATGAACATTGTTGTCCATAGGAAAATGGTGACCGTACAAACAAGAGAGACAACCCCCACAAGTACCTGCTGTACAAGCCCACCTATGGACAGCTCAACACATTTCTGGCCTCCGCCTTCAAGGAGCTGCCACCCAATGGTGCCATGGTCTTGTACATATCAGCTGACGGTTGCCCTGGCAACCAGAAACACACTGATGATGGTACTGAACTGTGACTGTTGTGGTCATTAGTTTATAATTCATATTTAAATTATTTGCATTTTGATGCTGAGTTTTGACTTTAAAATGTTTTCTCTAAAATATTTCATAAGCATCCAAATTTTGAATTTTTTTTTTTTTTAAAACCTGCCATAATTGACAATAACCTAATATTTTCTCTAAAATCCATCATAGTTGCTTATGACCTAATATAATATATCCACTAAAAACGCCTTTGTCCTAATATTTTCTCTAAAATCCTCCATAGCTGTCTTACTTAATATGTTCTTGGAAATTCTATACAGCTTGTGAGCAAATGTCTAAAATCCTTCATGGCTGTCTATGACCTAATATGTTCTTTAATATCTTCCCTAGCTGGCTATGACCTAATATTTTCTCTAAAATCTGCCATAGCTGCCTATGACCTAATATTTTCTCTAAAATCTGCCATAGCTGCCTATGACTTGGGCGGTGTCATTACAAACAGCAGAAGGGAAGGGGAAGAACAGAATAAAAGCAAAAAGGCTGAACTGTATAAAGAAATGCATTGGTAAGTTGAACTATCTTGATTTGCATTAGTGAAATCACAGTTGAATGGTAGATAAACTCAATTTGCAGAAATATGTGTGTAGTGATGCTACTTAGCAGTGTTTGCAAATTTTGTCTTAAATTTTTTTTTTGCTTGTTTGTGAACCTATTTCACATGTTGTTGATACAGGGCTTTACCATAGTTTAAATATTTTTTGTTTACTGTTGCCTCTTATATACTAAAATTGTGTTGGTCTGGTATTTTAATTTTGTTTTGGCATGTACCTGTGAATGTTTTAAATAGTTTTGGCCTTTACCTGCACATGTTTTAAATTTTACTGACCAACTGCTTTAGTCTAATAAAATTATTGTCTGAACTTTCTCTGCCAGTTTACACCCAGGAGACTTGTATCCCTACACCAGAAAACCTTTGTTTCTCATCATAGACAGCAGCAATAGCTCAGCTTTTCAGGTAGGTCTTCCTGGGTTTGTGTATAGAAGTTAGCCAAGCAGTGATAATAGATGATTGATTCCTGGGGGTAAGAGTACAAAAAATATCAAAAGTAAACTTGCACTTTCTGGTCTAATGATCCAAAGAGCAGATGAAGTAATAAAGTTCATGTTTCTTTACCTGGTTGTGTGAAGGAAAATATGGAAGTGTCTTAAGACTTTAGTTAAGATCATTTTTTTTTCAAATGGCCGCAAGTCCTGTTTTGTATATTTGAGTAAAGTGGGGGGAAAATATTTTGCATTGGATATGGCAATTTGTAAATTTGTCCGTGCCGTTGTACTTATTAATACTTTATTAACTTTAAAAAAATGTACTATAGGCTACAACATTAAAATTCTGATTAGATATAAACAAAAATTTCTTATTGTGCAATACTTAACGATAAAATTTTCTTTTCCAGAACTTTCCCAACATGTTTGGTCAGCCTCTAGTATGTCTGCTGTCTCCTGAACAAGTTCCTGTTACAATGCAGGGTAACTCTAAATGTTTTTTTTAAAGACATCTTAGTTATCCTTATTTAACCCTTGACAGTCCACAGCATCATTAGTTGTACTGCCCCTATGGCCAGGCGAAAATATGACACATTTTTAACCGTGACACCAAAGAGACTTCCACTACTTAGCATAACTAAACCTACTATATATAGTAGGGCAAAAGAGGGCGCACCAGACTGAGCCGCTTAAGAAAATTGTTGGGCAACCTCATGCATATAGGACTGTAAAGGATTAAATAGTGATATTCCTTGATTTAGAATGTTTGTAGTTTAGTTCATATACACAAGGTTTAGATCAGTTCACCTTGCTTTTAATTGTCCAGTGTTTTATAATGCCATTATCATGGACTAACCTATAATAGGGGTGTAAGGTTATAAACTATTTCTCTACTAATGTCATCATTAATCATAAGCATGAATCTTTAATAATTTATCTACCATGTGTTAAGATTCTACTCTTTAACACTGGTCTGAGTTATCTAATAGCCATAGGTTTTTTTTTACAGATCAACAACTGAAGGGCAATTTGTTCACATTATTCCTTCACTGCCCACTGATGGCTATGTGTTGTGTGTGTAACATTGGGGACATCCCCATCACCCTTTGGGACAAGTGCCAGGCACAAGTAGACAAGTTTGTTGCTGATGCCTCAAAGTTGTTCAGTCGAGCTAGGAAACTAGGTAATGTGTTTTGTTATGAGATTTGTTTGCTTGTGTTGTGTGAAATATGGGGACAAGTCCCAGGCACAAGTTTGTTACTGATGCCTCAAAGTTGTTCAGTCGAGCTAGGAAACTAGGTAATGTGTTTTGTTATGAGATTTGTTTGCTTGTGTTGTGTGAAATATGGGGACAAGTCCCAGGCACAAGTTTGTTACTGATGCCTCAAAGTTGTTCAGTCGAGCTAGGAAACTAGGTAATGTGTTTTGTTATGAGATTTGTTTGCTTGTGTTGTGTGAAATATGGGGACAAGTCCCAGGCACAAGTTTGTTACTGATGCCTCAAAGTTGTTCAGTCGAGCTAGGAAACTAGGTAATGTGTTTTGTTATGAGATTTGTTTGCTTGTGTTGTGTGAAATATGGGGACAAGTCCCAGGCACAAGTTTGTTACTGATGCCTCAAAGTTGTTCAGTCGAGCTAGGAAACTAGGTAATGTGTTTTGTTATGAGATTTGTTTGCTTGTGTTGTGTGTGTTATATGGGGACAAGTCCCAGGCACAAGATTGTTGCTATAGCCACAAAGGTCTCTTTCTCACTTGAGGACATAATGTCCTACTTTCTGAAGACTGGAATGTCCTACTGATGTCAGGTTTGGATGTCCTACTGTCTCCAGGATGGAAGTTCAAAATCCCACCTTGTTGCCTCACCATGGCACACAAATGTTGTGTAATACAACATACACATTGCAAGGCTGCTAACCTGAAAGTCTCATGTTCAAATCCCAGAGTCCACCTAGCTCTAAGGGGTACCTCTAAGTCATGTTAGGGAAAGTAAATGCAGTTGGGCAAAGTACTGACCACACCTTCTCTTCATATAGTAAAGTCAAGAAACATATGAACTCTACTTCATTTGCCCAATGGCATAATCATCTGTAAATAACCATGTCATAGAAGTCTTATGTGTCCAGGATAAATTAAGAACTCAGTAGACATGAATATATAGGGGACGGCGTGGCATAGTGGTAGAAAGCTAGACTGCTAACCCTAGAGTCTCGCGTTCGAATCCAGGTTCAAATCAGTGGAACATCCCAGAGTCCACCCAGCTAGGTAACAGTTAGGGAAGCAAAGGCGGCTGGGCATAGTGCTGACCAAACTCATATGCTGAGGTCTATGAATGAGATGAACTCTACTTCATTTGCCCCCATGTGTCTTGGGCACTAACAGGATTAAGAAGAAGACATGAATATAATTGTAGTATGAGCTCAGGAAGTTTTGTGATTGCTGTATTGAAATTCTATAACTTTCTGTTTGTTTCAGATCATGCTTACGTTCAGTTCCTTGGTGATGACTTTCTACGACTTTTGCTTCTTAGATTTGTGTTCTGCTACATTGTGCTAATACTTCATAGAGGATTTAAGGTTAGGCATTTGAAAAATGTTAATACTTGCAATGTGAATTTGCTGTAGATTTTTATTAGGTTAATTTTCCTTTATAATTTTAAATTTCTTTACAGAATTTAAAAAAATTTCTATTGATTTTTGTTAAAAGCATTTAATTTTTGTTACTTTTTAAAAGTGTGGGAAAATATTGAAAATGCCCTGTATAGAAAACCTCAAACATGTGCATTTCACTGATTTCTATTGTTGTTGAGTATTGGGCTACCAGTACTGGAGACCTTTCGTCTCTTGTTTATTTTATTGTCATCACACCTTTTAAACTGATTAATTAGGCTCTTTACCGAACTGTTGTAAACTGGTTTGCTGTATTTAGCTGAAAATGTATGATAATAATAAAAGTTTTGATAGAGGGAACATATCAGTAAAATATATTTGTAGGTTCATTAAAAACCTTTTCAAAATTGCCCCGAAAAAATTCAAATTCACAAATGTATTCTGTAAAAGAGATAGTCCATTTCTATTCAATTCCATTTGAATTTCTCCCATGTGGAATAAAGTTTTTTTGCTCTTGCTTTAAGTTAGGTTCTATTAAATACTTGACACATACTTTTGTAAACTCCTTTATACTTGTGTTTAATACTTTATATACGAATGTTAACTTACTTTTGCTATTGGTTTGTTAAAAACTTTATACTGCTGAATGGCGTGGCCTAGCGGTAGAGAGCTAGACTGGAAATCTGAAAGTCTTGAGTTTGTATCCGGGTTGAAGTCAGTGAAACGTCCCTGAGTCCACCCAGCTCTGATGGGTACCTAACTCAGGGAAATAGTCCGCTGGGCATAGTGCTGACCATATTATCCCTTCATATGCCCAGGACAAGAAACATTAACTCTACTTCATCTGCCCAATGTATCACTAGGTCTAAAGAGGAATCTTTGCTTTACTACTATTTAAATACTTTATACTAATGTAAACACCTTTGAGCTTGTATTAAATCCTCTCTACTGCTCTCTTCAGGGCCCCAGCTACTACCCAGCCTCCCACCCAGCCCTGCCCACAGATGAAATCCTGGAGCACCCAGCTCTGTATAAACTAGTCCTTGACCTCGCCAACATGTTAGAAGTCCGAGGCCTGTTTGCCGAGCCTGGGGATGTGGATATATCTGCATAACCTTCACCTAGACCCACTTATTTATTATTTATTTTCCTGCGATATTTTTAACTACCAGTACGTTTTATATCTGTTGATGTCATCAACTCATATAAGTCATAATAATACATTTTTTTTAAAAAGAAAAAAACTTTTTTATCAATTTGGACATATTGTGCATATTAATCCTTCACTTTTGAAGAAGTTTTATTTTTTGTCAAAAGCGTGAATAGTTTTTATTCTGTTTCATTGAAGTTTGCTCAGTTTAAAAAATATTAACAAAGCCATTAAACATTTAAGTTATTTATATAGAGACAGTGAAAGACTCATATTATAGCATTCTTATTGATATAGTTTATACAAGCTATTTCAACTTTGTTATAGACGTTGTCAATGTTATACTTTAGTTAGCTTGCTACTAAACTTCTGCTTGTAGATATAATTATGACTAAACCGTGTTGTTTAATACAAGGTGTTGTTAAGTTTAAATATATTTCTTTATGAAATGTGTGAGGGAAAAATATAATTTTTGTTGTTTTGAAGCTGCTATTGTGACTATCCAGTGAGAACTGAATATTAAAAGGCACTAGAATTTCTTGGCGTTAAGTAGATTTTTTTTTTTAATTTTAATGCAGCAGCTAGTCCATAGCAGGAAACAGCTAGTCTATAGCTTCAGTATTATTTGTTTCCTTTTTTACGTGCCAATTTTTTGATACAGGTTTTATATCTTTATACCATAGACACTTATTTAGTATTTTATATCTGATAGGCACGCTTTTGTAAACAATGTTGCCATTTTGATTAGGGTTAGGGTTTCAGCATGGCTCATCACATTGGCTAGGGTTCAGCAGGTTTTATCACATTGGCTAATGTTCAGCAGGGTTCAGGGTTTATCACATTGGATATGGTTCAGCAGGGTTTATCACATTGGCCAGGGTTCAGTAGGATTTATCATGTTTGTTTATGATGTTCTGGGTGCTTGAAAGTATGGGATGTGGAGTATAAATTGTATTATCATTTGAAACATTTTATTAAGGACTTCAACTTTTTTGGAATATTTATCACACTTGAGATTTTTTATTAAATAAGAAAATCAAAAGAATTTTACAAAATACTTTAAGACATATCCAAATCAAAGTATGTTTGGCCATTATTTGAGTTGTTGTAAATCATTAAAAGATTTCCAATTAATTTACAGTTACATATCGTTTTTATCAACCCACAGAGAAAAGCATGTAGACTTTTATAAAATAGATTTCACAAGCACATAATAAACACGGGCAATCGATTGTTGTATTATCTCCCAATAATTTAATCAGCAGATTATCAGTTTGACCATTTTTGAATGTTATGTTAGAAGTTTAATATTTCTAAAATTGTATGCTAGGCCACTACCTTGAACAATGTACAGGACATTGCTATGAGTGCTCACATTATCTTTCGTTTCGTACTTTTTTTTTGTTTTTAGTAACCAAAGAAGAATAGCAGGATGCTTATGATTTGAAGGAGAAAAAGTGCTTTAATAAAATGTTTTTTTTTTTTAGTATTTTAAAATATTTCTTATAAGGTGTATAATGAAGTTGTGTGAAAAGGACTGTTCAGTTATTATTATGATAGAGGATGTCTGAAGTTTATTTTTGACAACATACTTGTTTGTTGTATTTTTTTTAGTTAAATGTAGCTTGGGTTTTTTACAGCCCAATCTAACAGTTGATTTTCTCAGACCAAATGTTATCATTGTCCACAGTGTATTTGAAACCTTAAAAGCACTATAAAACATTAAAGAGAATACGCTCAATTACACCCAGATCTTTTGAAGTTGATTAATCAATCACCGTTTGGTCCTGCGATTTTATTTTTGTTTAATATTTTCAGTGTTGTTTTTTTTTTTATGAAATCCAAACCACATTATTTTGTTTGTTTTGTCAGTTAAATCATTCAAACTTTTGTGATTTCAGTATTGATAATTTCACTTTTAGCATTTTTAATCATCTGAAACAATCAATATAAACATTTAGTATTACAATATTTAATGTGTGTTTGTAAATTTAATTTTGTCTCACCTAATATTTGCTTTAATTAATGGGTTTTTTTTTCAGTTTTGAGTTGTTTTTTTTACTGTTTAAATTGTTTTTTTAAGCTACTTTACATTTTGTTTTTCTAGGCTGTTTCAAATTTTTACTAGAGCTTAGAAATCTATAGATTTTTTTTTTCTAAATATTTTAAACCACAAGAACATTAAGATTTGATTTTTTTAGATGTTATGACTTTAAGCCCAAAAGAAGCAGACTTTTACATGCTCTGAAGTGTTTTATATTTAAGTTAATCAATGAATTATATTTTTCATAGGTGTATTCACTTAGCGATTTTTTAATTTATTTAGTTTAATTTTAGTGATGTCCTTTTTCTCCAACTTTTACTAGAAGTATTAATCAATTTTAAAAAAGTTTTATTGGCATTTCCATGTTTTATTTGAAAAATATTTCTAAACACAAGTATTCATCGTTTCAGTTAGGTTTAGTATCTTTTTTTTTAAATACAGTAATTTGCTCATAACAACTGTGTATTGGGTTAAAATATTTGGTCTGTCTCGGCACAAATCTTGTTTACTCTCGGCTACTCAGGCTAGACAAAACAAGCATTATTTTAATTGTAGTCAATTTGAAAATGTTCTGCGAACATTTCTAGCAATTAAACAAAATATTTATTAAATATAATTTACTCGTTAAATGTTATCGACAGTTATACTTTATGTTTATTTACAATTACATTCCATTGTTTGCTTCAATGTAGCTTCATTTTTTGAACAGGTTTAAAAAGGTTTAATTGTAATTGAGTTTAAACAACGTTGCTAGTGATGTTTTTACTTGGGCCAGTAAAATTTTGGTCATTTATTGTCGTTCATTTTAATTTTATATGACAATATTGTAAAATTTAATATTATGATTAAGTATTTGGTTATCATTTTGATTAACTTTTCTGGTCCATTATAATTACAAGGCTATATAAGCCATGCTTCTTATGTAATATATTAGAGTGTTGTAATTTTAAGTCGTCAAAATTTTAAAATTTGAAAAATGTATTTTTTAAAATTTGTATCTGTGCATGATGCCAGGCTAATTGCTGTTAATATTACTTTAACAATGCTTGACATTGGACCTCCAAAGATTTTAAAAGTTTTATTTATCTGGCATGGAATTACAGTAATATCTATATGGTGAGCGTGGCAGCGTATTATGTGAGGACATTACGGTGTGATTATTTTTGTAATCATTTGGAAAAAAACATTCATGTTGTCAGACATGTAGATAATTATGTAATGCTTTAACACCTTAGTAGTTTACTATTCTTAGTGGCGTCGCTTAGGAGGTGTGCCAGGGGAAGGGGTGTTTGTCCCGGGGAATATTATAGACAATAGGTGGTTGACAGAATAATTGAGAATTTCAAACTATAGAATTCAAGTCAGCTTCTTTTATAAAAAAAGGGGTTGAAATTTAGTTGTAACACAAAAGGATTTTTGGTAATTTGACCATCGCCCACCCAGCCAGCCCCACATACATCCAGCCCCCCCCCCTCCCCCCACACCCACACACACACCCCCCAGCCAGCCAGCCACAATAGTAGTGAGAGAAATAATCATTGCTAATGTGGTATGAGATGTTTTATCAATGTGCAATCACTATGGAGACATAGTTTCTTAATATATTTTTAACCATGTACATACCCCCCCCCCCCCTTATTTATTTGTCTTTTTGTCTTGTGTTTACTCCTTTGAATGCTTATGGTTTTTTGACTGTAGCTTTTATTTTTTTAAAAATTCCAGATGGCATATGTTTCCTGTACAACAGGGTTGGGTTGGTCTTTACGGTTGTGTATATGTTCATCACTGTGTAGTATGTGGGTTGTCCTTTTTGGTTGATTGCCTTCTGATTAGGTTGTCCTTCTTGTGTATAAAATCTCATACGGTTGTAGCCTACCAATCAACTGCAGTGTGTAGCTCGTCAATGCTCAAAGCTTGTAAGTAGCTGTTATCCTCTTCTTAAAAAAAACCCTACTTTTAATAAGTCGAAGATGCTAACATTTATGAGCCATAATTCACGCTGTAGTAATTACTTAAGTTAATTTATTATAATATTCATTACAGATACCTGGTGCATACATAATATATATATACTGTATTTATTTTGCTTTTTTAAAATATACAACTTGTCTGAGAATATTTTTTTAAATGAGGCTGCTTATTTGAATGAAAGTTGTAAAAAAAATAATTTTAGAACTATAAGTTAGCCATGGAGATGTTGGGTAATTAAGGGATTTAACCTAAGATTTTTTAGCCTAAGAAGAAGGCTAATATAGGCTTGTTAGAGTTAGAGTAAGGGGGGAGGGTGGTTCGCTATACAAATGATGAGATAAATGTATTCCCAGGGTCTATTTGACTTAAAAGTACTAGGGTGGCATTGAGTTTTAAAACAGTTTTCTTAACAGTACCATTTAAGTATAATTAAGGGAAGGAGAAATATGGTATGGTTTCACATAGTGGTTCTCAACCTTGTGAGGGTACTGTACCCCACCAGTTTCTTAGGTACATTCACCTAACCCTTCTTAATAGTTCTATCGTCAGAAATAATAAAATCTGATTGTGAGTCATATGAGTGGAGTGTGTCTTGACCTCTGCCAAACTCGTATGACTGGCTCATCCAACCCCTGGGGTTTGATAGAACCCATGTTGAGAACCACTGGTTTAACATCTTGAGAGGTGTAACCAGAGTTTGGCAATAGACATCTGACATCATTTATTGTGAGCTCTCTATCAGCTGTAGCCAGGGCTGTACTACAATCTTTTTTTATGTAACTGTGTGAATGCTAGTCAGATCAGAGTCAGTTTTCTTGCCAGATGTCTCTTATAAATGTGGCAGGGGTAGTTGGATTGATGTAGTGCTTGATTCAAATAAATTGCTTGTTTGTCTGGTGGTTCAATAAGATGTGATGTGAATATATGTGTGTGTATATATATATATATATATATATATATATATATATATATATATATATATACACATATATATACATACATATATATATATATATATATATATATATATATATATATATATATATATATATATATATATATATATATATATACACATATATATACATACATATATATATATATATATATATATATATATATATATATATATATATATATATATATATATATATATATATATACATATACATATACATATATATATATATATATATATATATATATATATATATATATATATATATATATATATATATATATATGTATATTTGTATATATATTGTGCATGTATCTATTTATGTGTATTGTATATGTATATACACATATATTTACATATATATGTGCATATGTATATCCATGTGTTTGTATAGATATATATATATACACATATAGATATATAAATTTATATATATATACATGTATACATATTCACATACATATATACAAATACATATAAACCCATATATATATATATATAGTTTATGTAACTCTATTGGTATGTCTTTATTATCCCCTAATCTCCACTTTAAAAAATCTTTGTTGTGATGTTTTACTCAATGATTCCAACAATGTCTTCTTCAACTGGAGACTTGGATTGTTCCAATAACTGAGA